ATCAGCCACAGTGCCTTATCCAACTCAGCTGTGTCTGAGTTTGTGTTTTTATCTTCAGCTTGTAATATTTATAAGGTCTTTAAAAATGTATGCAAGCTAATATTATCTAAGATAAATTTTCATATTAAAAAAGTTCCCTAAGAATAAATTTAAGCATATATTTAATGTTATTTATTATTTTATAATGGAGTAGTATTTTGTTGTTGTTATATATTATGGAGTTTTATTATTATTCACTTCGAGTTTTAATATTGTTCATTATATGTGATACTAAGTTTGAATTTTAATAGGAATTCTTTCTATGTGGTACTAAGTTACTCATACATTTTATCTTTGTTTTTTTGGTTAAGCTCATATATTTTATCATATGTATCAAGTGTAATATATTCAAGTAAATTATTATAACTAAAAAATTATGGTGTGTTTAATTTTCTTTCACTAATTACTACATATTTTCTAGAGCCACAGTGTTTGTCAAGTCGCTGCATAATCAACTTAAATCACTCAAACCCACCATGCCATGCATTTCCTTCCAATTTTTTGTGATAAAATAATAGACAATTGACTAAGTAAACATCCTCTAAAGTTTCAATAAAAATTTCCAACTTTTTCTCATAATTTCCGAGATTTTTATTCAATTTTTATCGATATCGATATTTCCACGATATTTTCATTGATATATCCGTGTTTTTGGACCATCGATATTTCCGAAACTCCCGATATTTTAGACCTTGGTTCGAACCAGGTGCACCCGGTCACACGGGTGACCAAATCTTATAAAGAACCATGGCAGACTGTTAGAAAGAAATAGGTGGCTCACACAGCCTCAGCACATTGTAGTCACTCTCACTCTGTTTCAGTTGCATTATTGTTGGCTTGGGGTTTCTCTCAGCTGCAATGTGTTCTCTAATTGCCAAGCTCTCTTCCCTTCCTCTCTCACTCTCCATTGTTTCCTCATCTTCATCTTCCTCTTCCTCTTCCTCTTCCTCTAAAGGTACCCCCCAAAACTCTCTGTGTGCGCCTTTGTTTGTGTATCTGTGTGTTTGTTTCACGGCGAAGTTTGTGTAGTGTTATGTGGTGGAACATATGGAAAACCAACTCAAAGTCAGTGAAGCTGAGAGAGGACTGGAGGCAACGCTCCAGACCCATGCCTCCTGGTGGCACTTACCCGGCTAAAGATCACTGCAAGTTCATTTTTGAAGCTCTTTCACTTCCTTTCATTACCCCACTTTTACTTTTTATAAATTTGAATTTTTGCATTTAAAGTTTGAATTTTTATTTATTCCTTTTTTGCTATATCTTGTCTTTTGGTAGTTGTTGCGGGTTGTGCGACACATATTACATTGCCCATTTCAAGGAAGCCTGTGCTTTCTTAGGAGATGGAATGTCTAAGATTGAAGCAAGTTCTTGTTCCTCTCCCAATTTTTCATACTGTCATTGAATTTTTACTCTTAAATACTGATTTAGAGCACAGTAAATGCTCGAGTTCTCTAATATCATGTACCAAACACCGGATGTGGACATTTGAAGTGCAGTGGAATGATCGAACTTCAAATTTGGTTCAAAATCTAATTTTTTTAATGATCCATTGCCATGCATGATTTCCATTTTATTCATCAGTCTTGATTCTCGAAATTCAAGTTAGAGGTGCAGCTACAACCAATGTTGTCATTAGAATTCATTATTATTATTACTATTAGTTTTCTTTTCATATTTAACTAAATCATCATCTAGACTTGTGGAACTACATAGCTTTGGATTTTTATACTTTATTGTAAACTAGCCTTGTTGGTTAATTCAATAAAACTCAAGTTGTTTCTTTGATATTCCAGCATTCATGTACTCTTTTGTTTTCCCATTCAGGGCTTGGAACCTGTAGTTCATGGTAGAGGGAGAAAAACAGGTTCCTCAGATGAAATTCTTCTACCATTTTATGACATTTTTGTTTCTGGTTATTGTTATTCCATCCTCATTATGTCATTTCTCTTTATCCCGTTCTCAACAGGACACCAGCGGAAGTTCTAGCTGATAAGAGCATACCGTCCTTTGTGGTCTGGGTTTTTTGTTTAGGACTTTTCCGTCCTTTAAGTGATGGACCATCCTTTTATGGAGCTTAAATCTCAATTGTTGGTATTGCTTTTGAGTGAACAGTTTGTACTTCTTCCCACTCCTTAGTTGTTTATTCTACACTGCTCCTTGTCACAAAATTGCACGTTTCTTATGAGTTTTAGTGACACAAGTGTGCCTTTCCTGTAAAATAGGCTGTAGGTGTAAAGAAACTTCTATTCTGTGGTGTGGGTTGCCAGGTGTAAGGTAGCATTTATAATATAATCTTGCAAGTTCTACGTTCAATCCTTCTCTGTTGTGACTTGTAATATTGTAATGCAGAGTAATTTCTTAAACTGCAGCGTTACGATCTGTGGAGCACCATTTAAATTTGGACAAGCTTTATGTGTTAGGCACAAATTGCGGTTAGCCTTATGTATTATTTTTATTTTTATTTTTTATGTTTCTCGATTTCGATAAGTAGTCTAGCCATCAAGTTTACTTATGTCTATTACTAAAGGCCCCAGAGGAAAGAATATATATATAATTGCCATGATATCATGTTAAACATGGCATAGATGAACTACTATAATAAACTGTATCTTACTATCTCTATAATCATAATCATCATATCATCAACCGCAGCATCATTATTTATTAAAATGTATGTAGTCAACAACTATATAATGCCCTTGTTCTAGTAAATGACATCAGTAACAAGTAATATAATTTGTTTCAGTACTGATGCTCTTGTTTGACAGTGGACAATGGGACTCGAGAAGGGCTTGATAAGTTTTTAAAGGCTGCAAGTAGTGAACCAGAGACAGTTCTTCATTATGAGTTTATGCAAAATTACAAGGTTTGCACTTCTTTTTGTACATTTTGTGGCGATTGAGTATTTGGTCTCTATATAGTACAGGATTTAGATGCGTTATCATAAAAGGTACTTATTTCAATTATTAGAAGAGCCCAAGGACTGAGCAATGTTTCAAGGTGGTCATGTGTGCCATTGCACACCCTTTAACACTTCTAGCAATATTCTTGTTTCGAAAAAGGGGATCAACCTCGGATGAGTGCTGTGGGATTGGGCTTTTCACAATTTTTCTGAAAGATTTCATGGATACTTTTATCTTATTTTTATAATAATTTAGTGGTGCGGTCTGGCAGGCTTATATCTGTTTTAGATTATAGGCTTATGATAGTAAAATGGACACTAATTGTTTTATCTTTTGTTATATGCCAACTATTCCTGGTGTGAGCATTTCTTAACAGGCTAGTTGGCTATATTGTTTCTTAAATTTTATTCCTGTCCTCTTGATAGGTTCACTTGAAGCATTTGGATGGTCATATTGAAGAGGTAAAAGTGGTCCTTGTATGTTCAGTTTGGTATTTATTCTGCCATTCATGCTACCTCATCTCATTTCATATTTTAACCAAAGCAGGTTCCGTATTTCTCTCTGCCAGCAAATGAGTTGGTTGATGTATTGCTCCTTCTTGTTATAGGTAATGTTTGTCCTTTTCTTTGTAATACTTAGTAGTTTTTGAATATTTTTTATGTGAATTAGATTCAACAACTAGAAGGTATGATTGACAGTTTTGGTCAAGGAAAATTCATTTCTGAAATTGCTGTAGACATACCTTTAGATATTAAGAAAGAACATCAGGAACTAAATAGGACTAGCAACCTTGAGGATAAGATTTCAGTGGATGTACACTTATCATGCTATTGAAAGAAAAGGAAAGATAAACAATTGCTCTCTCTCTCTCTCTCTCTCTCACACACACACACACACAGACACACACACACAATCAACACACATTGACACTATCAAAAGGATTGTGTGCAAATGCTTTGAACTTTATAGATGCTTTTGCGGCTTTAGGAGAGAGTCGTTAAATACATGGTAATCTTCTCTTCTCATTCTAATTGTACCAGATGTCCCCGAGGCTATAGTCAATAAGATTCAGGGACTATGCTTGATATTGGAAACGCAGTAGTATCATTGTCATCACCACCTGTACTGCTACAAATTTATTAACTTTTCATTTGTGAATTCCCTCAGATCGATTCAACAAGTAACTTACAATTAGATGACATATTTCACAAACAGAAATGCCACATATATCAAATACTATAGTTTATATCTGTCATATATTTTCCTTACCTGTTCCATTTTTATTGTCTTGCAGTTGTTTCGACTATACAAATGGTTTAGCGGTGAGTTTTCATCTTTACAAGGATACAGGAATGCTATTTTCTTATTTTCGGAGTTTGTGTAGTTTTGATCACATCTCATTGTTCCCATGCATTTTTTGGTTAGACAGTGCGTAAGTAACACTTTCTGATGAAAATAGTTCATTTTTTACTAACCTCTAGAAATAAACATGTATTTTTATGCTAAATTTCTTCTTAAGTTTATTGCTTCTTTGTTTATTTTTAGTTTTTTTTTTTTTTTTGGCCAGGGAGAGGGAAAGAGGGAGAGTTATTAGACTTTGTACTGTCTCAATTCAGCAATTGGTTTATTGTCAACGATTTCCTCTTTCGTGAGTTTTTGAAGGATAACTTATTATGGAATGCAGGAAAACTTTTATGTCAAGGATAGATGAAAGTCTTTGAAACTGGGTATTTGTACATGAAACTGGACTATGTTTGATGATCAAATTAAAATTTGGAAGCTCATTTAGATGTGAAAAATGCAATTCAACAAAAACAAGGAATTTCCAATTGTTTGGAATCAACTGCTACTCTCCTTCTCTCTCTCTTTCTCTCTCTGCATATAACATTTGTGAAAATTAATTAAAGTTACAAGTCTATTGCAAGAATCATGGTTACATTTTGTCACCATCACCTTGGTCTGACATATTATTCAAAGCTTTTATTATCTACTGAAACAAGCATAACTTAGTGTTAGTAGTATAAAGGTTCTCACATGTCTCTCACTCACCTATTTCAGGATTTAGTTGTAGGATACATGGGTGTGCCAAAATATTCTGGAATCAGCATGACTCAACATCCACAGTATGTTACGGTAAGGTAATATTGTTGCTCGGACTCTGTGCAGCTTTTCGTTGTGCTTATTGTTTATCATTGTGCTATTGCAATATTTTATTCCACTTTGGTGGTAAAGGAAAGAAATAAATAAAGATTTCTATTTTTTTCTTGCCTTCAAATGGTAGAAATGAACGTGGAAGAGAGATGCTCAGTCTGGTTGATAATCTTTGGGAGGTTACTCCAACAACTAGCAGTGTAAAACCCTTGATCCTATCCTATTTCTCTTTCTCTGTATTTTTGCAATTTGAAATTTAATGTTTATAGGACATAGTTTCCTTTGTACGAAGTATTCTAAGCATGGCTAACCATTTGTCATGGAGACTGTTAAGGCATATGATAATGCTAAGTTGGGTACGTGCTGTACCTTCTTTGTGATACTTTTTATTGGTGTATTCAGGGAATAGGACCTCCCCTTGATGGGATCAAGAATAGAAATGTTTATCATTTCGCTGTATTAGACTGTATCTTCTGAAGAAAATATGCTTCATTTTTCTTGAAAATCATATGGTTTGTAATGTAGGCTATAGCTCATCTGAATTTCTGGAGGACTCGCAAAATATATGCTGCTTACCATTGTTTCTACAATCTTGTTTCTCAGGAAAGGGTCCTGAACCTGCCCCAAAGTTTGTTGGGAATGTGATTGCTTTCTTGCTAAACTTGGTAAGGACTCTGAGTGATGCATTTAAGAATTATAAAATTATATGCAAACTTTTATTTTATGACTTGGTTCTTGTTGAACAGATTGGCCCAAAGGGTCTGGAATTTGCTTGTTATTCACTCGATTACCATACCATCAGGAACTACCTGTATGTAAACCGAATATGGGGAAAACAAAGGCGCAACTTTCAATGTGTTACCTGATAGTAGAGCTGAACCATGCAGAGCTGATCAGCATATGCCTTCATATGCAAAGAAGATTGTGGATACCTACAATAAGAATGGTGAAATCAATCGGATTCTTTCCAACAAGTGACTGCATTAGCTGGTGAAATGCAGATGATAAAGAGGGCACTTCAATGTAAACCGAAGTTGTCCTTAATCTTTTCTGTAAATATATATAGAACCAATTACGTATCAATCAATTCCTAGGTCTTCTCAGGTTGACATATATGTTTGCTATGATCATAGGTAATTGATTCCAAGCCAAGAATTCTACTGTTGAAGTCAAATTGATGATGGAAAGCTTCTGCTCAACTAAGGAGAAAGTCAAGATAAGATAAAATAATGAAGTCAAGAAAAATTGAATTGTAAATTGTAATACCATTTCTGTAACGTCAAAACTTTGGCTGAGACTAAGGGGGGTGTATTCAATTGAGATTTTAAAAGACTATTTATGAATAAATAAGTCAAATGGATTTTAAAAGACTATTTAAGAATATAATGACTTAAAAGATTTTTTTGAAAGATTTTTTATATTCAGGATTTTTATGTTTGGATTTTAAAGATTTATATCATAAGAATTTATAAGATTTGAAAGGACCACATGGATTTTTTATTTGTACGATAACCAACCAACTTAGTTGTGGGCACTTGCATCAGCAATAACATAAACGAGATCAAATGGAATGGAACAATAAATAAAAGCAAACATTCAAAGTTACAAGAGTCAATAAAAACAGGAAGGCTTATAAAATGGGTTATAAAATTGACACCAATCTCTGCCAACATTGGAAGGCTTGACTAAAATGGTTCTGCATCCAAATTGGATTTAAGCTGAAAATTCAGCTTTCTTATTAATTTAATATGCAACTATCCAAGGGTTACATACATGTGAGTGATGTTCCTCTTGCAAAATAGAAAGGTCACGTGCCATTCGACATGCAGAGGTTGCAGAGTTTTTGAGGAAAATGTTGGAGAGTGCTACGAGGAAAGAGATGGTTGATGTGGGTGCTGAGCTGATGAGTCTTACAAACAACAGTATATGCAGGCATGCTCTACAATTAATTTGATATGATCCTTGAAATTTTCTCCCATATTTCTATTTTTAACAAGTGCCTGTTTAATAGCAGGATGGCTATGAGCACTAGTTGTTCAGAGAATGGTGAGGAAGCTGAAAAAATCAGGGAGTTGGTAAAATAATCATTTGAGTTGGCTGCAAAGGTTTGTTTTGGGGATGTGTTGGGCCCACTGAAGAGGTTGGGTTTCTGGGTTGATGGGAAGCAGCTCATGGATGTGACCATGGGTATGATAACTTCTGGAGGGTGAAGCAGCATGAAGAGAGAGAGGGTTGGGATAGAGAAGATAAAGATTTGATGGATATACTATTGAAGGCCTATCAAGATGATAAAGCCGAGGTCAAGATTTCCAGAACTCATGTGAAGGCTTTCTTGCTTGTAAGCGATTTCAATCCTTTCCATCAATCTGTCAATCTGTGAAATCGATTAATATTTGCTAAACCCCTTTATCTCTATCAATCTGTTAGCGTTCCAAGTTCAGTTGTGAGCCAACAATGAGAGCTACTGCGAACAATGGGAGCTATCGGGATCGGAGATCGATGAAGCATGTTCTGGACAAAGTTCATGGATACATCTACCTCGAGCCGGTATGAGAATCGATTTCACCGTTTAACTTCTCTTGCGATTTCACGAAGAATTGTTCATCTTCTCTCGTAGAGAGAAAAAAATCTCACGTGAAAAGTGTGACGGGTTATGGTGAGGTTTTTTTTAGGGTTTGGTATTTATACCTCCCACTAAAAAGTCACACAAATTCCTTCTTTAAAAAAAATCCTTCGAAATTAGCAAGTTTTTGAATACTAAAAGACTTTTGTTACTTGTTTAAAGTCTTGATTGAATACCACTAGATTTGGACACCCTCTTTAAAAAATCCTAAAAGTCCTTATTGAATATCACCAGACTTGTTTAGATTATTTAAAAGTCTTAATTGAATACCACAAGACTTATTTATCCCAAAATAGTCTTTTAAAATCCTAATTGAATACACCCCCTAAATTTTGGAAGAACAAACAGTTTAATGTACAGTCTGTCTTGGAGGTTTAGGGTTTTGGATAGGGAATTATTAGACTTGTTATTTTTCACGTCGTTATACTCATTTATTTCTGAACCTCAAAGCTCATTTTAAGCAAAAACAAGCAAACGAAAATTGGGTTTCAAATGAGAAGGTGTGCACAAAAATGACTGGGCCTTAATCTTTTGTACAAACCTAATGTATGGTAGTCAAAGATCAGTCAAACCGACCGTAGAGGAATGAATTCATTTAGAGTTCTCAGACTGAACCTTCAACACATACATGGTTGCCAACTTGCCATGCATAATTGAATGCAGAGACCTAATTAAGTACGAGGTTATGGTCCAAAAGCAGTAAGACAGTGAGAGGAATGTATCTGCATGAAAACATGAAGGAATGGGCTTTTTTTTCTTTCTTTTAAAAAAGTATCTCAGGTGGTGGAAGTAGGGAAGGATATGGGTGGTAGCCTCCCCATGTGGTTTTCATTGTGGATAGCAGGGTGGGCTAACGAGAACCTTAGAAATCCCAGTGAGAATTGACAAAAGTGCAGTTGTGGAATTCATTTTGTAGGCTCAAAATGCCGCAACTTTAAGTAGACAAGCTTTGCTTCTTTATGCTTGGAAAGAGAGCCACAAACAGCACGCTCTTGAAGAATTGAATTGGTTTTCTTTCTTTACAATATTTGAGTTTGTGGTGGTGAAGAAACAGCATGGGGACTCATATGGGTTGTCTTTTCCTACTTACAACACATCATTCTGTATTGACAAAAAACACACACACACACACACATCATGTGAAAAAAGTAATTTTGCTATTAAAAGAAGCATATCATGCTAATCAGAGGAGCAAAAGGAAACTTTAGGCTGATATTAGTTGGATAGAAGTGTAGAGGGGTTTGCCCAAATTCTTTTCAATGACTTAGGAAGGGCTGCTAACCCCAAACTACATTTGCATACTATCCAATGGGTTTTGGCAGTTGGACTTTTTTTTTCAGGGGAAATAGAGGTTGGTTTATGTTTTGAGTTTTGGCGAAATTCTTTAGTGAGGGTGTTATATATGGATCCATCATGTGGACCTTCATATTAGTCATATGATTATTTCATTAAACTTAAGTAAAGTTACTAATACGAAAGTCCACATCTATAGTACGCACCATCACCCATAGAACGACTCTTGAATTTTGACCCCGGAGAGGATTATGAGGATTGAAGGAGTATTCAGAAAGCACTTTTTCAAAAAAGCTTTGGAAGTAGAGTTGGCTTATACATTAAGCTGTCCTATAAATACAGTTTTTCATTTTTATATTTGGTTATACCTGGTAAAACATTGTTATATGATCATGCTGTTTTAATCTTCTGATGCAATAATTCTAGCTGTGAAAATTGTGTTTGATTTGTGCACCAAACAAGTATTTGAAGTTTCATGCCAATGTTGACAACCCCAAGAATTGTATATCCTTCCAGGTTCTATCCATGTGCAAGGCAACATGGGGAGGAGACCTGTTTCTTTCTGAAAAGTTCAGTCACAGTCAGAATCTTTTTGAAGAGATTTGTGATGTTGGAAAGTGGTGGACCAGGGGCCCACATCATTTATGGGGCCCTTGGTGGGCCAGCTTGGGTTGAGAGAGGAGAGCCCATCAATTATAGTTATGACTAGTGGGCTAACTTCAACTTTTTGCAATGTAATAGCCAAAAAACCAAAAACAAAAAAAAACTTGTGTGTAATGTGTGTGTATATATATTATATATATATATATAGAGAGAGAGGGAGAGAGAGAGAGAGAGAGAGAGAGAGAGAGAGAATCTCATTCATTTGACTGGGAATTGGATTATTATTAATAAATTTGAATACAAGATTCCATAGGAAATAAAGAATAAGCCTCGTCTTCCTTTGACAAATTTATGTCCAATTATTTTTGATGTGTTGGGTTTTCTATAGGAGAGGGCTACCTTTCTGTATTCTACATTATTTTCTACACAAAACTCAGTCACCAAATTATACACATAAAAAAAAGAATAAAACTAAAAAATAATTTGGTGACTCTGAAATTTTAGAAATGCGAAATGCATCTGCGATGTCTAGCTGCAACAGATTTCCTCTTCTGCTTGGTCTCTTCTTTCCAGCTCTTGGCAATGTCCTGTGAGACTCCCATGGCATCTAGTGAGGCTCCAGATAGTCCTCTCCTTGTGAACCCAACTGCATAAAGCCCACCTTTCCCTTTCCACCCATTTGGGAATGAATTCTTGGGAATTCCTTCTCTTGAAAAGAATTCATTTTCCTGCACAACATTCCAGGAAAATTTTAGTGTCAAGACCATCCAACTTTAGAAATACTGAGGAGACTTATCTAAACCTTAACTTTTCCATTTAAAGAAACTTGGTAATAAATACCAAAACAGTAAGACATAAATACAAAATCAACTTGTATGAAAAAGAAAATTTCAGGTAAAGTGGATAAGAAATTTTCTCCAATAATATAATTTTGGATTTGGATCCTCATTTTAAAGAAATAACTCTCTTCTACCAGATCTTGGTAATGAAAAAGACAAAATCATTACAAAAAAATCTGACGGCCAAGACATCAAAACAGAGGGAGAGGGAGAGAAACAGAGGAAGAAAAAAAAACTGCCATAACGGTCACATGGATTGAAAAATAGAAGCTTCCAAACCAAACCCATTGAGATGGAAATATTGTAATAAAATTTAATTCTGACCTTGAGCCATGAAGGAACATTGCTGCGATACCCAGTTGCCAAAATGACAGAATCAATCTCAAGATTTTGTCCATCAACAAGTTCAACTCTACCATGAGAAAACCTCTTGATTCCAGGGACCACCTTGATCTCACCAGATCTTATTTTCTGTAAGGCACCAATATCCAACACAGGGGTCTTCCCTGAAATGTTCTTGAGTTCCAAAGGCCCTAAAGATGGTCTTCTAAGACCATCTTTTTCAAGATTTCCAAATATTAGCCATGCCAGTATCAGCAATATCTTATCAGCAAGCCAAAGTGGTAGCCATTTCATCAACAAAACTGCTAATCCAAATGTTGACTTTCCACAAATTTCCCTCGGCAAGACATGAACCTGTGATACCAAAAACAGAAGAGAAGAACAGATTAAGTCCAAGTTTGAACTTTGAATTTCTACTAATAGATAACATGATACTTTTTCAACAACTGTCGTCCATAAGATTTGAATTCACAACAGAATTTGTGAAATTTCTTTACTTACCGAACTCCGAACCACCATTGAAGGGCTTGCATTGTGATTGCAAAGATCAAGAGAGACTTCCATGCCTGAATTTCCACAGCCAACAACTAGTACTTGCTTACCACGGTAAGCCGCGCCGGATTTGTAGTCACAAGCATGCATGACATTGCCACCAAACTCTTCCAAGCCTTCGAATTCTGGCACTACTTTCTCTGCATTCTCTCCGGTGGCCACCACGAGCCACCGGCAAATGTACTCAACCTCAGCAGCAGCAAGGTTTGAATTGCTTGTTGAAACAATGGTCTTGACCCTCCACAGACCAAAGGTCTCATCATATTTGGCAGACTGGACTGTCTCATTGAACTGGGGGCTGATGTCAAAATGTTGAGCATAGGACTCTAGGTAGTTGATGAACTGGTTTTTAGTGGGGTATTCTGGAAAGTCCTCTGGGAATGGGAAATTGGGTAATTGGCAGAATTGCTTGGGGAGGTGAAGCTTGAGCCGATCATATGTGCGTTTTTGCCAAAGAGAAGCAATGCAATTGGCTCTTTCTAGGATAATGAAAGGGACACCCTGTTCTTTAAGGCCAGCACCAACAGCTAGGCCTGAAGGACCTGCCCCAACTATAACAGGTCCATTCACCCAAATGCATCTCCTAGCAAAAAGGTCATCTTGGTCAAATGAGTGAGGAACCATTTGGGGTATGTTGTTATGACAGGTACCATTATACATCATGATGAAGAAGTATGTTTATCTTTTGGAAAGACAATAGGTGGTGAGAGAGATAGGTTATGGAAAATATTGGTTGCCCAATAGTATTTTGTTGCACAAAACAAAAGCAGTGAGAAAAAATGGAGATGGTGCTTTTTTGGTTTATGCAGAAAGTGGTGGTGGGATGAATTGTTTTGAACTAAGTGGATCAAAAGATTGGACAAAGAGGAGTTGGAGAGAGAGAGAGAGGTAAATGGAAGATGTTTGAAATGATGTGTGAGAGGGAGAGAGGGATGGAGGGGTTTAAATAAAGGAGGGGGTATTTGGCCATGAGAGCAAGCATGTGACTGGGATTTGAAAACGATGCTTTTTAGCCTGCGAGGGTCATTTCCAAATGATAAGCTTAGGGCCGCCTTCTTTTGTTTATTACATTAATTTATTGAATTAGAATTTAGATCCCTCCAAAATATATACTCTACCCAATTATATGCCTATGTATTTTATGAATTGAAGGACTAGAAACCGCATCCCACAATCTGCCAATTTCGCCCTTGGAATTTAATTCAAGTCGAGACAGACGGTGAAGTAATTAGTTATGATACAAATAAGCTAACGATTCGATTCCTTTTAATGTAATAGAAATAAAAACCTGAGTCATTTAG